CTTCCTCCCTCCCTTCCTCCCTCTCTCCCTCACCTCAATAAATAAAGTTTTTGATCTTAAATCTTTTATTAATTACTAATGATATCCTGTATTATGCTTCTAAATATTAAAATATTAATAAATATATATACCATTGGACTATAAAATAATGTGTCTCAAGAGCAGGGATCCGAAGTTAACGAATATCGGGTCGTTTCGGTTCAGATAAAAAAAGGTTTACGATTCAGGTTAGGTCCGTAAAAAATTATATTATCAGTTAATTTCAATTAAAAACCGATGTTCTAACCTTTTCGCATCAAGAGTTGTATAAGGAAAACATGGTTTTTAAAATTTTATCACTATTCCCTAAAAAATAAAATTGTGCCATATACGTTTAAAATATTTTCAATATTCTCTTATGTAAAATTTTCCTTTAGAAGAAAGAATACATTCTATGGCTTAGAAAAATACTTCGATACGTTAACTTAAGCATTTGGCACCGCTAAATAGCAATATGGAAATATATTTAAAAATATATACTAATATTTATCAATCAAAAGATTATTAATAATTTTTTAAAGAGTTAGGATATCAAAAGGCTCAACCCGGTTCACACTATTTTTGGAAGTTCGGTTTATGGACAAAATTTTTTAACGGTTCAGGTTGAGTTTCGATTCTATAAATAACAACGGTTCCACGTGCTCTAAGTACCTATATTGGTTATTAGATCAATTTATATTATAAGATATTTAAAATATTATATTTCAAAATTACCATTTTACACGAGGTAATAATAGAAGTTTAAAAATTTATTAATATCTTCTGGAACTACTAAAATTTAAAAAAAACTATTTATACGATTATAAAATTATATATTAATACAAAGGATATCCAAAAATATAAGATTTGTTCATAATTATTGAAGGCCAGGACCCTGAGCAGTAATTTTTACTTATGGCGACCCCGGAAGAATTCATTTTGAAAATTTTTATATTTTGTCCAAATTACTTTGTATTAATAACAAACTCTTAATAGTTAGCAATTTTATAATATGAATTTCGAATTACTCAGCATGATATATTATTTATAAAAGAATTGTTAAATGACTTATTTCTGTATTATGCGATTTAAGTATACATAAATTATTCAAAGATTTCGAGAATAAATTTATTTGGAAGGACCTAGCCCCCAAATAGCACTGAATCAATGTAAAACATCAGATTTGTTAAAGGATCGAATTGAAAGATCGCCAATCCTGGATTCGATCCTAAATTTGTCAATTTTCTCGGATTTAAGATCCTGACCTTAAATTGTGGATCGTGATCGAGATCATTTTTTTTAAATATTCAATCCCGATCCTTTCAAAAATTATTTTTTACTTAAAAAGCAAAAAATAAAATATAAATTTTGAAAATTAAATTAAAATTTAAAAAAAAATATCTATCTACATTATATTTTATCAACCACCATTCCACGAGATTTTATATTTCAACAATTTACCAAATTTTTAGTACGAACTAGTTATATTTATTTATTAATTATATTATAATATAAATAAATTCTAGGTTTTAATTAGTGTTGTTAAACGGCTCGTTTTGAGCCGATTTTTCAAAACGGCTAACTCACTATTTTAGCCAGAAAAATATTAAATAAGCTTCGAGATTTCGTTAATATATGTCTGAACCTTTGTTCCTTCTATGAGCAAAATGGTCAAGCTTGCGTAATATTTTTCTAGATGAAATATTGAGTTAGCCATTTTTAAAAGTCGGCTCAAAACGAGCCGTTTAACAACACTAGTTTTAATAATGTCCTCCATTATAGATTTAGAAGATGTTACATCTACTTCTATTGATGTGACAGCAGATATAAGTGAGAATGAGAATTTTTACCATTTCATAATTTACTTTAATATTTTACTTTATGTAAAATGGATGTAAGTAACCATACAATGATCTATGCAAAATCTATTTATGCAAAAACAAAACATCTTCAAAGATTAGCAGTTCAAACCTAAAGAGGAATTTAGAAGTAATTAATTCTTTTAAAAATACAATTTTTATTATTTGTGAGGATCATAACAATATACATATAATAAGAATTATTTACAATAACTAATAACATATTTATTGATGTGTTAATTTTAATTATAATAATCAGAAATTTTAATATTATTATTATTAATATTAGCCCATTCTTAGCATTGATATGAAAGGGAGACTAGTATTTTTAATGGGAGTTGAAATTAATTTTCAGTATTTAAAACCTTCAACCACATATAAATAATATAATTAACTTAATATATTTAACAAAATTTGTGTAACCCTTTATTCATAAGTTTTTAAATGCTAATAAAGCCTCATTTTATTCATATCATAGAAAAATATTTTCTCAAAATCGTTTGCCCATACCATCTTCGGCAGCTTTTAATGATAGACAATATTAACTTGAATTTTTAAGATAACCTATATGACCCTTTTAACCACATGTGGGAAGCTTTTAATAATGGTAGAATATTGTAAACTTGGATTTTTAAGATAACCTATATGACCTTTTTAACCACATATAAATAATATACTTTATCATATAACAAAATTTGAACCCTACAGGTTTTACATTCAGTCTGTACATTGTTTTATTAACTTATATTTTTTAAAATTTCCATCTAAAATTTTAAAAGATTCAGGGGAAGTTATTTTCATTCAACTCTGTTACATAATATATTTTTCTTTTATAAAGAGAAAGCACAGTGAATTCAAAAATGAGATTGCCAAACACCTAAATGAATTCTCTACACAAAGAAATTAATCTCTACAAAAGCAAAATGTTCCTGGTTGCAGATCCAAACAAACCAAATTATTTTTTTATAATCTTAACATGCAATCAATATCGCAAAAAACAGCAGACAAAGTTATAATGGTGTTTATTATTGACACCTTTCAACCACTTTCACTGGTTGTTGATCCTTCCAATGATTAAAACATTTTCTCCAACGACAAAAGTTATATGTCGCCAAACTCTGGGCAACAAAATATCTACTGCCTTTACAGATATGACAACAAATCTTATAAGAGATTTGTCTGAAGTCTCCTATGTATGCACCACTGCTGATTGTTGGAGTGGTCATGGAAGGTATATTATATTTATATAAATTTTATAATATTTTATTTTAGGGTTTTTATTGGAGTTAATGTCCATTGGCTGGACCCATTAACCCTCAAGAAAAGATCAGCAGCTTTGGCACTGAGGCGTATAATTGGAAAGCAAACATATGATGTTTTGGCTAAGGAAATTATGGATATCCAAAAGACTTATAAAATTTTTAATAAGGTGATGAAGATGGTGACCGATAATGGAATCAACTTTGTAAAGGCATTCAAGTAATATTTTTATTTAACAAAAAAAATTATTTAAAATTTATTTTTTCTAGAGTATTTGGAGAAAATGAAGAAGATAGTGAGGATATGGAATTAATAAATTTGGATGATATATTATCTGCTGATGACTCAAATAATCCTACTATCAGATTACCAAAATATCAACGTTGTTGTTGCCATAATCTGAACCTTATTGCAACCAAAGACGCTGAAAAAGCAGAAAATGATATTAATTATAAGCGAATATCAAGAACAACATTTGCTAAACAAACAAAAAATGTCCCCCAAAATGGTTGATATTCTATTGCAAATTGGGAAGATATCTAATAGCTCCCAACAAGACCAGATGGAACTCCTATTTTCAGTCAATGAAATTAATGGACAATATTCTCTCTGAAAAGTTATCAGAAGTAGAAAGTTTATGATCAAATTAGATTCACAATGTTTAGGCAAGAAGAATGTTTCTTTGTCAAAGAATATGCTTCAGTAATACAATTATTTTTACAATAACTAAAATTTAAATAAGGTTATGAAATCCTTGGCTACATCATTAAAGATCTTTGAACGGGAGGATAACATGGAGCAGGGATATCTAACCCCAGTTCTAACCATACTTGTGGATAAATTAAAGAAATTTAGCTGCCTGCGATATTGTCAGCCCTCTTGTAGAGTGTTTTCTTAGAGGTATTGATAAAACGTAATAAATTTTTATGCAATTTTTTTACTTTAATAGATATCAGATATCTGCAAAATTTATTAAAGAATTGCCAAGATCTGGCAAATTTAGTATATTTTTAACAGACCTGGTCTACTAAACCTCTGATATCTGGTAAAATTTTAATGGGCCATGATAGGCATTAAAAATAATTAAATTGGTAAGGCCTGACTTTAAAATTTGAAAGGGCTAACTTTTGCAGATACCTGATTTATATGAATGAACACCTATTTAATAATAAATTAATTATCATTTATTAATATAGATTTCCTTCACTATATGATGACAATAATATATTGGCATCATAATTTACCCAAAGTTTAAGCTCAATTGGCCTTTTATTAATTTGCCACAAAATTTGAATTGCCCATTTAGAAAATAGAAGGTTCAACCACATGCAGATCCTTCAAATAAATGTATGGATAAAATCGATACCTTTTTTGGGAAAAATTCGTCACAAAATGCTTTTTCCAATAATTTTTTTTATTCTAACGATGATTCTGTGAATATTTTTAATAATTATGTTAATTTAAAAAAAATATTTATTGAATATAACACGCCTTTACCATCAAGCGCTCATGTGGAGCGCTTGTTTAGTAAAGAACATGCAGTTTGAAAAACGTGGTTGTTTAAATGTTGATAATTTAGAAAAATTTTATTATAAAAGGCTAATTTTAATTATAAATAAATATATTCTAATTGTTATACTTATATTATATTATTCAATTACAATAAATTTATACCATATTTAATTTTTTTATTAGTTAATTTTGCATCTATCAGAAATTTAAATAAGAAAAGGTCGATCCTGGATTTCGATCCTATTTTTTTCAAGAGATCGTGATCGGGATTCGATCTTTTTAAAAGGATCGATTAACAAGCCTGTAAATCATTTATTAATTTTTAAAAAAAAATTGTTTTCTTTTTTTTACATTGAATCGATGTCTTATAGATCGTATCTTCTAGAAAAATCCAAAAATAGAATAAGTTTGCATTTAAGAAATGTCTAATTTTCATGGATAATTTTTTTACAAAATAGAATGTGCTTTCAAATTATTATCTTTTCATCATAAATTAAAGAGATAAATCCTTTAAAAAAATAATTAAACAGGTTAATTCTATTTAGAAATTCATTTAATTTCAAATATTACTTTTTATAAAACTTTTTTTGCAAGTATTAGTTAATTTTTTTTTGCCTCAAACATTTATTATTTATTTTCTTTTATATTTTTTAAATAATTATATTTTTTATTGTAGCAGTTTTATATTTTTTATTTTCTTTTTTGTATTAAAAAAATTGTAATAAAATACCTTATCTGCTAAAAAATAAATAGCCTATCCTCAAACAAAATTATATATAAATCGAATTGCAAAAGTGTGTACTCTTACTAGTTTGAACTTATTGGCACTAAGTTTAAATTTCGTTTTAATACCTTGTAGAATATATTATTACCTATGATTTATAAAATATACATTTTTGTCAAGATTAATTAATTGAATTATGAAATTAACAAAATAAATTCTTATATTTTTTTAGTATAATATGGGACTTTCTTTTGACATTTTAGACCAATATTATTATTCGGATTAAATGGGTTATATCAAAATCAAATTAATTTTACATTTTCATCCACTCACGGTATCAGACCAGTATCGGCTGATATTTTCAATTTTAACTAATAACAGTGACCGATACTCAAAAATAAAAATTTCTATACCGATAAATAAAAATCAAAATCATTTTATAACATCTTTGTAATATTATATAAAATATTTAAATATAAACAAATAGCAAAACAAGTCATATATTAAAAATGAGTGTAAATTTTAAAAATATCGATGGCTCTAAAAAGAGCTTATAGTAAAAATGTACCTAAAAAACATGTATAATTATGTTTAAAAAGCTCTTTTTATTTTAAAGTGGTAATTTATAAGAAAAAATGATGATATTGATGAATTATATCTTTGCTTTTTTTCAAAAAATATACTATATTTATTTTGATATTCGTAAGGTATTGGTGGTATGAGACAATAACGTTTTTGCATCGGTGATATCGATTTAACTAAAGTATCGGCTAAAGTTTAATCGGTTCATCTCTCAAATAAACCTTTATTTCTCACACCTTACATTTTTAAAATATGATGTAATAATAATAACGTTATAAGAAATTATTAAAATATACAGATTCTTCAAAAAATATATTTATAAAAAAATGAACCAAGTTTTGAAATATTGTTTAGTCAAAATAAAACTACTAGAGTTTGGAATATAGTTTAAAATGTTATATAAAGGGATTATTTATTGCATAAATTTTTTAGAATTTTTGATTATACTAAACAAATTTTGGAACCGGATTTATCTCAAACCGTGCCAAATTAAATAACTAAACCCAGGACATAACCTTTTTTCTAAATTTTAGGAATTTGAACCTGAATATTTAAAAAAATATTCCAGATCCTCAACCTGTACCCTTTTTAATCCAAGTTCAAAACTCAAGAAGCATTGGATCAAAATAGTAAACGGTTTTATTGTTATTGTAATTAAAAAGGTGTGGGATTCTCTATAATTGCACCTGGGTAGGAAAGGACATATTATAAAGAATTCCCCTAAATATATAAAATATATTAAGGTTAAATAAAAAAATAAAAATTAGCAAGTCAAAAAATAAAATATATAAAAATATGAGACATATAGACCATAAAATTTAAAATTGGCTGGGCGTATTTACAAGTTCAGGTGAAGACTGGAAATAAAAAAAATGCAAATCAGATCTAATAATTGAAACAAATATTTTTAATTTATAAAATAAAATATGAAAAATTCATTAAAATAAAAAGTAGCTGTCAATAGAAAAAAAGATTGTAGCTCACTATAAGCTACTAGATAAAATATGTGGCTTAGCTATAATTACTATAAATAGCTACTTTTATAAAAATATATTTAGACTACAACGATAGCCCAAAAATTGGCTAAAACGGTAGCTTTTACATTTGTAGTCAACTTTACCTTGTGTATATTCAATCCGTTAATCCTGTGGGATAAAGTCATCATAATCCAACCCTTGTTATGTGAGCCTAAAAAATATCTCAACACCTGTTATTTCTTACTTCTGAACTAAGATGATCTTGTTTTATAAAAGTACATACGAAATAGTATTGAATGAAAAGTTTTGAAATTAATGTCTATTTGCAAACCTCAAAAATCAAAACAACAACAAAAAGGAAGAAAGAGATTTTAATTCTATAATTTACCAACTGGTTACGAGAGGCTCATATGTCAAACTCAAAGACTGTAGTTTTTTTATTCGTCCTCATTTGAAGGGCAAACAAATAACGGCAATCACATGTCGAACTCGAGTAGTTTTTATTATCTGGTAAAATAAACCTATATAAAGTGATTGATATGCCATTTTTATACTTGTATTTTATGTATAATTGTTTAATTTGGACATGAAACAGTTGGGAATTTTTGGGTTGGGAGATTAGAACCTAAATATAAAATAGAAATAAAAATATATACTAAAATTATAGTTTTGAGTCCTTTATTAAATATTAATACCAAAAATTAATAATAAATTATATAAATAAATATGAAGGGAAAACATAACCAAAAAAAATCAAAAAGAAAAAAGAAAAAAGTAAAAAGTAAAAAGTAAAAGTATAAAATACTAAAAATTATATGCGAAAAATTAAGTGAAAGTAAAAAAAATTAAAAAAGTCCTTTAAATTATAAAAATTTTGCCTTTTATATAAAATTAACATCATCCTATTATAACATAATAAATTTCGTAGGATTATAATCAACTTTAAATCTTTATTCAGAAATTTATATAAACCCAATTTTTTTCATAACAAACAAGCATTTACATAGTGTTTAAACAACAAACTTAAATAATCTTGAACTTTATCTAATCTGAATAAATCTTTTTTATTCATTTTTCTTTAACTCATTTGAATATCACAATAGTACTTATTAATATTTTATGTGTTATATAATTTTTCTTCATTTCTCCCTTTTCATTTTCCCATTTTTTCGGTTTTTTATATTTTCGAAGAATTTCTATCCTGATAAAATTTACTATGCTCGCCATAAACACAATTTAAATCCCACAACTTAATTCATTCGGCACAATTCTTATATTTATTCCTTAACTAGGTTACCAGATGGATTGAATTCTAAGTATTTGAAACTATATGCATTCCCACTTTAATCATGAATTAATCACCACATTACTATTCTCGATCTCATGTATTCTGTCTTCTCTCATTTCGCAGGACAATATTTCGAGGCTTATTCACTATTTGTTTTCGCTGAGTTTATTTTCTTTTTTTTTACTGTTGAATCCTTTTTGGTTTCTTTAAAACCGATTATCGGGTTAGTTTATTTATATTTGTCTTTGTTCATACCATTTATTCATTCATGGTTGCCTAAGGGAAGTCATTTTTTAGATCCTTTATTACGCTTTTCTTAACTGTGAAAGGTTGATCAGAGCTTGGACTATGTGAGATTCGTTTTTTTATTATCATGCGTATTGCTGAATTTGATAAAGACCCGCAGGCTAAATATTATTCCCAAGTGTTGTTAAACTGCTTGATTCTGGTCAATTTTTTAAAGGGCCTGATTAAGATTTTAACCAAGAAGTAAGTTTATAGATTGCCAAATGGAGATTCAACTCCATTTACCATCTATGAGCAAAATTTCCAGGCTTACACAATATTATTTTGGCTAAAATATTAATTGAGCCGTTTTTAAAATTCGACCCAAATCTGGGGGTTTAACAACATTATTCCCGAGATTATACCAAATTAGTCCACTAAGAACTATACAAATGCCTTTTTTGAGAATAAAGCCGGCAAATTTATATATTTAACTCCAAAAATTTCCTAACAATTGAAGGAAATCATGATTCTTCTTTATATCTTTGAATTATCATCCTATACTAGAGGTATAGTTCATCATTTAATGCCCCTATAATGAATCCTGTTCATTACTCTTTATTTGTATGGATGTAACCCGATTATTACTCTGTTTGTTTTACATTTTTCTAGTCTCAACTATTATCCTTGTTCCCTATCTGTTACCCATTAATAGTTTCTTGCACTTTATCATATATGAATAACTTTATCCGAAGGCATTAACTTATATATCAAAAATGGTATCTATATCCTATTAATTCTCATAAGAGATATCTAGATATATATAATTGTATCCTTGATTTAGAAATACATTTAAAGGATACAATTTAATGAACTTTCATCTTACGTTTTTTATTAAAGGAAATCATGATTCCCCTTTATAGCTTTGAATTATCATCCTATAATCTAGAGGTATTGGTCATCAATCTAATGCCCCTATAATTAATCCTGTTCATTACTCCTTTTTTGTATAGATGCAACCCGATTATTACTCTGTTCGTTTTACATTTATATAGTCTCTCACCATTATCTTGTTCCCTATCTGTTACCCATTAATAGTTTCTTGCACTTTATCATATATGAATAACTTTATCCGAAGGCATTAACTCATATATAAAAAATGGTATCTATATCCTATTAATTCTCATAAGAGATATCTAGATATATATAATTGTATCCTTGATTTAGAAATAAATTTAAAGGATACATTTTAATGAACTTTCATCTTACGTTTTTTATTAAAGGAAATCATGATTCCCCTTTATAGCTTTGAATTATCATCCTATAATCTAGAGGTATGCGTCATCAATCTAATGCCCCTATTAATCCTGTTTATTACTCCTTTTTTGTATAGATGCAACCCGATTATTACTATGTTCGTTTTACATTTATATAGTCTCTCACCTATTATCTTGTTCCCTATCTGTACCCATTAATAGCTTCTTGCATTATCAACTATGCACCACTGTCATTAATGACTTCACTATCTACCAGACTGTTAAAGTATTTAGATGTAAAATGGTATCTGTAAGATAAATTCTCATAAGAGATATCTAGATATATTTAAATGTATTCTGGATTAAGAGATACATTTAAAGGATATATTTTGAAGAAATTTTATCTTCCGTGTTTTTATTATATAAAATTTAA